GGGGGNGGGGGGGGATGGAATTGTTAAATCGACTTCAATTTTTTGATGCGTATTGTAGATTCACTTTTTCTCTTTTTTTTTCTACTGCCTGTCCTTGGGATCGTGGTTAAGTGCATGGGTTTAGATTGCTAGCAAACATAATATTTTAGTTACCATAATATTATATTTATACAGATAAATGGATTCATCTATAGATCACTCTCAAAATACAGATGATTATGATTTTGATCTGATTATGGCTGCCAGGGATCGCGAACAACACGACCTGAGCGTGCGCAACAGGGCTTACCTCCAGGCGATAAGTGAACTAGCAGGTGAATTATACTTAAATACTTACACCATAGCGTTTCAAGAGGAAATGAGAAAGAAAAGGGAAGCGTGGTGTGTTTGTGCTTCCGCTTTAAGGGAGTAAACTAAACTTCATTGTAAAAGCATAACAAGGAAGCAGAAGATAGATAAATAGTTTGATTTATGTCTTTGATGTTCTCAGCATAACATTTAGCTTAATGTAATCTTTTATTTTATCTCCTTTACTCTATCTCGTTCATAAGATCTATCACAGTAATGTGTTTCGTTAGCATTACAGTTAATAAATCAAGCAGAGTAGTACTGTCGATGTAAATGAACGCTTTTTTCCACAAGAAAAGTGGAAGCATACCGTTTCAAAATGAGGCCAGTATAGTAGCATCGTGGCTTGATGCTGCCAGCTATATTCTCAACCCAAATCGTATCCCACACTTTCAGGTATCAATTGCGGAGCTTGATTATTTCATGAACACCATGCAGCCGCCACCTCCTTTCCTAAATGAGCTTTGGACGAAGTTGGTGTGGCCGATGCAGCATGGGGAGCCGTTATTGATCTTTTTTATCCGTTCCTTAGCTTTACATTTTGCAGTAACTTGCCTTTCTCCGCGGTTTCGGATTGTTGATGGGTCACAGAACCAACTATTCCAAGGTGCTACGGCTAGGGGCACATTCAGGGAGTATTACGAAAACATACTACATCGAGGGGAGCAGTCATACTCTAATTTGAGTGTAGAGATATGTCGTGTTGTCGGCTTTCGGCTTCAGCCTTATTACACAGACCTTGTGCAAAGCGGCTGGGAGCTACAGTCCTGTCCTGACTGTGCTATTCAACCGAATAGTCCTAGACCGAGTGAGGAAGATATAACTTTTACAGATATACGAGAACTTCCGCAAAGTTACGGTGGGGACATCTGCAGCCGCTGCGGGAAGTCATTGCCACTCCAACCGGTGTGGACCCGGCATTTTTTTATTGTGTTGCAGCGACAGGACGGTTCACGTTGTGCTGCAGTGGCATATGGTGATGACCTTTGCCCCCAGCTCCGGCTTGGCTGCGTCCTCCGCGCATTACTGTACGCGACCACGACGGAGCAGGGCGAACAACTCGTGGGGTTACACAATGCCACGGTATTGCTTCGTACCGCAGAGTGGACAAGTTCAAACACACCGGAGGCGGCAACGGTGGGGATGGGTCTTCTTCCAAGGACTCATTTTTTGGAGTCTTTCGCATATCAACCGATGGAAAGTTGTAGGGCGGGGCTTAAAATGTGCTTGACAGAGTGGTGTCGCCTCGTGGCACCTGGTATTGTTGGCCAGGACTCTTGCAAGGGTCTTCTTTTCCTCAGCGTCATTCATACTCTATACCGGGCGGTACGACGTGGGACGGCAGGGTCGTTGCGGCTTCGGCCTCTGCATGTGCTTCTGGTTGGCCCTACAAAAAGTGGAAAGACTGCTCTTTTACGAGAAATTGCGCATCTTTATGGTAAAACATACGCAGGGGTGATCTGTCAGTGGCATGGCAGCGTCGGAGCGGCGGCGTCCACAGCCGAATACGGGTTCGGGGCGTCTCAACCAAGAATGAACGGCAACGTATTGTTGTGCGGAGCTGCATTAGAAAGTTCTGCTCTCATGCTGGATGAAGTCATTTCAAGCGCTTCTTGCTTGCCGTTAATAGAGCAGCTTCTGGAAGATGGCAGCTGTGTAGCGGCCACTGTTGGATCTGGATCTGTAACCGCACTGAATGCACTGGAGGAATTAGGACAGTCCACCTTTTCTACAGAAGTTCAAATGATTGCGTCTATCCACGAAGAAAGTCGGCTTGCACTTCCACTGGCGCGGCGTTTCCCACTGGTGGCATGCGTGTCGCCGAAACTCAGTCTTGCATATAGCGTTTCCATCGGGCAGAATGTTATAGCCGCTTCCGCGGCTCGAAGCTCGTCTTCGAGATGTGCCAATTCACGGGCTTCCTCTAGTCGTTGGTCATTTGACGGGAGTGATAACCGTGGGAGCTCAACAGGGCATGGTCCTGCAGTGCCAGGTCTAGAGACTTCCCTTGACGTGGACACTCTTATTGAGATAGCACGGTGCGCGCCCGATGAAGAAACTCTCTACGCTGCGTTGGACTGGCCATCTCTTTCGGCTTCGTATTTGGAGCTTTTACAGACACACAGGCATCTTTTGGAGTTTTCAACCCCGATATCCGTTTCTCTGCTACCGATGCCAGCCTCACAAAGGGGTCTCATCCAGACAGCGGAGTGTAGTGAGGCGGCATATAACACGAATGTGAACCTCGACCATTCCCTGCAGCAACACTTGCGTGTGCTCAGCGCGCTTTCGGTAGCGCGTCTCGTCTTACAGGGCAGAGCAGGCGTCTGTTGGTCTGCCGATCTGGTACAGGAAGTTTGGGATGCTTATCTTCATCACTTACGTAGCCTTGCACACTTGCTGGATGGTGTTGCGCCAAAGGCAGCGCTACCACCTCGGGTTGGTATGGGTGACCCACTGAATACTGGTGTGCTTGGGGGATTCAGCCATATGAGTGGTGGTGCCTCTATTCCACACAGTGCTATCGTCGGCAAGCGGCGTCGAACCAGCAGAAAGGCATGCAAGCTGCAGCTGGTCGAGCTCTTAAGGCGTGAGTGTATTTCATCCAGTTCGGGGGATACCGACCACAGAATACTGACGAGTTCTCGCATAGAGGCGTTGTATTTGAGCCTCGGTGGAATGGATACCATGGGAGATTCGTTTGATGTTGTCCTCAGTCAGTTTCAGCAAGAGGGTTTGTTGATACAAAGATTTGGAGGGTGGCAATTAACAATGGCATAATTTTTTTTAAATATATTTTAACAGGTTTAAACTTATTATTATTATTTCACATACTTACAAAAATTAGTATATTCATAAACGATACTTTCTGCTCTTTTATTGTTCATCCTTTTGAGGGTGAAGAAATGAATACACACGTTGTTTAGTGCTGCAAATAATATGGAAAAGATAACATTACATTACACCCATTTTGTGTTGAACAGAGTAAATGCTTATTTATCCCATATTTCACACTCTTTTGTTTTTACTTGTCAGTTGACATATAATTTTAGAATTTGAACTATGGATAGTAAGGAAGTTCCTCAAATACGGAATCACCATTATGGGATGCACAACGCACCAAAGTTTTACATGGGCAGGATCTGCTAGGCCATATACCAGTCAGATTCTAAATATGTAGTTTGTTTTGACTACACGCAGTGTGCCAGGAATACACTAAACCATGTAAAAGTTTATAGTATTTAATTCTACCTATGTCCTTAACAGCTATTTTCTTTGTTTCTTCAGGCCGAACATTTTCAACATCCGCTTTCTGGAGAGCATTTTGTCAAGATTGAATTTTGTGTTGCATCTTCAGTTAAGAGGCATTATGCAAACAGGATTGAGTGCTACCTCTTTCGTGCATTGCTTTTTTTTTTCATGTTGTACAACTTCAGCTCCTTGTGATCGGCAAATTCAATGACCTGAATCTCGTATAGGATCTAGGTATTGTAAATATATTCCTTTAAACTATTTCAAGCAAAATATCCATGATCAAACGGGGAATCATTCGAGAGAAATCATTTCTAATGCACGTTGCCATTATTTGGAAATCTATTTGTGTAATTTCCGATCGCGAATCCTTTGTTCAGGGATTGACAATTTGACGAGGTAAAATGGGGAATAACTGAAGAAAAATTCAGTCTTTAGTACCAGTAAAAAGGAATCCCACTACACTTTTTCTGTGGCTTTTGTATCTTTTTTTTAAGCTTTGACTATATCAATGGGTAAAAGTGACTGATATAATGAATTCATATATCCTCACTAACCGATGTTTATGCATAGCGCGGAAAGTATTTTTTCGAGTTGAAGTAAATGAAATAATTTTATTTCATGATATTTATCAATTGCTGCTTTTCAATCATGTCTTGGAAGATGTCAAGGAAGTTCTATGTATAACCCTTAAGTTGTAGCTACAGGTTAATTAGTCTTCTTTTTTGAAAGGTGAAAAAAAGTATTTATCGGTCTAGATTTTTAGTACTATAATATATGGCCGTATCAGAATGCTCTAGGCGAAGCAAAAGGCGACAGAAGTTTGGAATTGACTGCAATGACCTCCTAGTGTGGAAGGTTTGGGAGCCTGAGCATCAGTACACACGGCAGGTAATTTTTAAGAATGTTGGAAGGGAAGCACAGACTATCAGCTTCAAGTTGCCTACGTACAGAAATACGTTTCTTACACCCTTTCCAGAGCCTATTTCTCTGAGAAGTGGCGTGCCTTTCACTTTAGACATAACCTTCTGCCCTCTCGAAGTAGTTGAGGTACACGATAGTATTGAGATTACAGTGCACGGGAAAGGATCCTTTAATATCAAGTTAGAGGGTCGTATTCCCTATGCCAAGCTACGTTGCACGCCTAGAAGACATGATTTTCAACTTTGCAGTGTTGGATTTACCACAAGGGATCGGATATCTATGGTTAATGTAGGTACAGTTCCTTTGGAGTTCGTATGGGACGTACCATTACCCTTTGCGATCACTCCACAGCGTGGTTTCCTGAAGCCCAATGAAACCCTCAAAGCTTCTATAGCCTTCACACCACTGGAAGCCCGGCCTGTCTTTGCGCAGTGTGTTTGCCGCTTGGCCAGCATTGATGAGGCCTTAGCTGTTATTGAACTTTCAGGTGTGGGGAAGTACCCACATATTTCATTTGCCAAAGTGTCCGGTGATACCAAGCGCCAGGGGAAAATAAAAATATCCCAAGACACTGCACAGTTTCAACAGATCAATCACGCACACGTGCGCGTAGACTTTGGTGCTGTGGCTGCTGGTAGCACGCAGAGTTACGAATTATTCCTGGATAACCCTTCACTCGTGACAGCCCGCGTCGGAGTACGACGTGAGGACGACAACGTTGACTGCCCTTTTCAGATCAGTTTGTCCAATACTGAGACATCCCGAATGCTTTCTCCGTCGCCCCTATTCCTCGGGGAATCCTTGACGGAGTTTGAGATTCCATGCAATATAAAGCGGAGTCTAATTTTTACTTACAAGGCTAAAGGGAGTGCAGCATATCGGCACACCAATGTGTTTGAGCTTCGCGCAGTGGCCGGCAACGTGCTTCACGTGAGCACAACTGGTATGATTAGTACCTCCCACGTGTCTGCCTCAACGAGTTATTTAGATTTTGGGGATGTCAACTTGGAGCAGTTGTCGTCCCGCGACGAACGCAGCTGTACTGGTGTGATCCAGCTTAAAAACAAAGGTAAGTTTGTTACGCATTTTCAGATTCATGGTGTTACTCTCGGCGGGGCCTTTTTGGTTGAGCCGAGCTGCGGTGCGATCGAACCTCGAAAGAGCGTTTATGTAAAGGTACGTTTCTATCCAACGGAGCCAATCAACTACCTCCGTAGATTGTTTATTTTCGTGCAGAACATGATTTCAAGCATCCTTTTTGTGGATCTTTTTGGCTCTGCCTACAATATTGTCAGCCGTCCGCCTCTCTTTGGTCTGCGGGAGGTTGATACATTCTTCATGTGTATGAAACACGGCCTGGGGATGTATACACCGCAGGAACTGAATGTATTGGCGATGGCCACCTCAGGAGTATTAGAGGGCAATTTATTAGCTTCAAAGACCAACTTTAGCAGCGCAGCAAGTACATTTGAATGTATAAAAGCAATTCGTGAATTAACCAAGGAAGAGGTGAACTCTAAAGATGGAGACGCTGAGATTGCGCGACGGCGGGTCGGGTCGATGCAGATCGACGCCATGCTTCACTTTCTCAACTATGGATTCCCTTCTCCGTTTTCAATGGAATCAAAGCCAATTCTTTCCTTTGAAGCTAATGGTAAACAGCAGATCCAGACGGTCGTTGTGCGTAACGAATCCCACGAAACAGCTATCGCCACCTGGGTTCTCCACAAATGCTCCATGTTTGTTGTGTTTCCAACTCAACAGGAGATACCCGCAGGTGAGCAATACACATTTCAGGTCACGCTAAGTTTGGATAGAGTTAGCAACGATCAGTCTGTGGTTCCGTCCATGTCGCTTCCACAGCGAGAGGTGGGGTGTGCACAGGTTTTAGAATGCTACGTTTCCTACGTGCGAATGCTATCCTTCCGAAATATAGACAAGCACACATTTATCCCACCACACTGCTTTTTTGTGCCTTGCATTATCAGAAGCCATTTTAATGCTGTGTCACAGTTCACAAAGGATGAAAACCTTGTGCAAATAAGCAGTACGCTGACAACGTTTACTGCCACTCGTGTTGGTGGTACAACGTACCAAATCATTTCCTTGCTGAATCTTACCGACTCATTGCTCTCGTACGAGATCACCAGTGCCGCGTTGCATCGTGTGAGTGAAAAGTTAAGGGAAGGTGTTGTGCCCATGCTCATCTCTGATGAGGGTGCAATTTTGCAAAAGCCTGGAGTCACGTCTCCTAATGCCCCTTCTCTACCTAACTCTGCCTCAGTCTTCGCATGTAACCCATCCATAGGATGGATAGAACCCCACAAACGTGCTCTGATTTTGTACAGCTTTCAACCGACAAGCTACGCCCACTTCGAGGCTGAGGCCACACTCAACGTGTTTTGTGAACGACAAATGCAGTCAGTAAAGTTGCGACTGCTGGGCGAATCAGATGCACCTCTCCTTGTCGTCACGGGGACATCCATGAGTGCTGACGGTAGGCAGATTCTCTTGAAGCCTACCTGTGTAACTGGCGAATCCCGTCATGTGCTTCAGATGTATAACCCAACTTCCCTTTCTATCGCTTATGATTTGTTGCCTTCCCCTGATCTTATGGGCATGCTGCATTTCGAACCGGCGGAGGGGCTCCTAAACGGGGGGGAGCGCTCTCACCTGACGGTCTTCTTTAAACCTGAGGCAGTGTCGAGTTTTAAGGGGAGTGTAATGCTCCTTTTGCGTGACACAGACGACGCTACCCATGAAAACACCACTCTGTATTCTGAACCAACTCAATCTAAAGCGTATTATGGGCATATTATCACATGGCAAGTGAGTGGTGAAGGAGTCTATGGCAAACTAGAGGTTGAACCTACTGTTATGACCCTTGATCGAAGCGATCCAAACAGTTCTGAGGAAAAGACCACTGCGAACCTCACACTCTACAATAGCGGTAGGTGTGAGTTGGCATACGAGGTAGGTGTCTGGGTTGTATCTGATCCAGCTGCGTTGGGTGAAGAGTCTCCTAATCCGATGCTTTACAACCACACCGGCACCCTCCCTGCACGGGCTCATTGCACTGTCCTTGTGACACCATGCCACTCTGTTAGTGGTGGTGTTGGCGAGTACATTCTATATGTAATGATATCTGGGACAGCTGACTTTAGTACCACACGCAGGCCTGAGACGCTTGAGGAGGTCATGGAGCATCCACACTGCAAATTGACGGTTCGTACCAAGCGTCCAGCGGTGCAGATCGCTGACGTCCGCTCACTCACTCAGCCTCGATCGTCTCTATGGCGGCGTCTGTCTATCAACGAGCTCAACACTCAGCTTGCTGCCTCTATTGATATGAGCGATGCAAATCCATCGTTCCACGCTTTCCATCAGTATATCAGTGGCCTTGTGCCTATCGCGATGAACATCGCTGTGGGCCTCCAGCACGCGCCATCGATCCGCATTTCTCTAGTATTAGAAAATACTGGGAATTGCGAGACCTCCTTTACAGTGTGGTTGCCGACGGAGTCAGATGTGTCCCAGGAAACGTGGTTTGTTGATCAGGAGGATCTCAGTGGCATTCAACACATTCTGGATGCTTCTCTTATTGATATCAAACCGCGCCACGCCACCATTGGGGTAGGTGGCGTTGCTGTCGTGACCATAACATACCGCTTTAGCGAGATTGGTACACATGTCCTTCCCGCGGTGTTTAGGCTTGATGACGGGAGGAGGGCCTTGGTATTACTTGAAGGGCGCACCATGCCGGCTGGTATGAGCTGTTTGATGTTTCATCACAGCTCGTCTATCTATCATTTACAGCCTGTGATGCTGGGAGACATGGAGCCACCAATGCAGTCTATTATGCTGGAGAACCCCCTTGACCGTGAGGTAACTTACACGGTAGGCATTCATTCTATTCGAGCTATCGCTGAACAGAACTACAACTTCCCTATTTTGCAATGCGTCTCCCCAGTGGGTACGCTTGCGCCGTATTCTATAGCGTCACTGCCATGGTATTTTAGGCCGCTTGAAGCCATCGAATATACCATGGATGTACCTATTTACACCGATACGGGTGAAAGTTACACTCTCACACTGATCGGCCGAGGTTACCACCCTCATATAACACCTGTTAGAGAAATTCGGCAGTGGATTGACAACTCCTTTTTTTCCGTACCTACCACGGTTTCCAGGTGTGACCACTTATCTCACATATCCTTAAATGAAGCTCCAGTGTCTCTTTCCCCCGAGGTGATGACCTTTGGTGCAGTACCCTTTCATGCGCTCTACCGACGTTGCTGTACATTGACAAACCACCATCCCACAGACGTTTACTCTTTCAAATGGAGTCCTTCCTACACGAACGGTGATCACACCCTTTTTATAAACCCAAAGGAGGGCGTTATTCCACCCAACGGTGGACGTGTCGTGTGTCGGATTGCCTTCAATACTGGTAGCGTAAGTCAACAATTAATGTGGCCCATTCTGTGCATGATTACCAACAACATGATGACAGGTGCAAATATGCCGAAAGGAACTCCAGAGAGCACTGCAATATCGTCGAGGACACCAGTGGACTCCGAGGAATGCATAGCGGCTGATGGTCTTGGGATTTTTGCGTGTGGTGAGGCCGGCATGCAGGTAACTGGAGGTTCAGCCCAGTGTAGTACGTTCCATCAGAAAAAAGCACGAGCGGTGTCTCCACGTTTGCCTTTGACAGCCATCCCGCCGGAATCTATGTCCCTGAACGCGCTGTCCAGACTAGTAGAGGAAACCAGACGGCAGTACGATGATAATTTTCTTGAGCTTGATGATGTCTCACAACCGACTCCGATGTACGGCACACTGGAGCTGTTTATCCAGGCGCGTATCATGCCAGTAGATAACTGGGAATTGTTGTATGAACAAAAAGCCAAGTCAAGAGTTTACCAGCCGTCTATGCATCTTTACACAGATTCACAGCCACTGGACATTTCCGGACCAATCACGATGGAAGAACTTCAGGTGACTCGCAACGTAATGGATGAGATGATACACATGATAATCGCACAGCCCCAGATTCAATCGGCCTTTACACAACCCTGTTTTATTGAGGAGCCGGTTTATTACAGGGACATGTTAGCGAAGCAGCACAAGATGGATCGGCTGCCTATCGCCAATTCTTCGATTGAAACCTCGGAGGTAGTCGATAACGTGAAAAGGGAGGGGGAACAAACACCACCGATTGAAGAAAGCCCTCAACAGAGCGGGTTGTTGAAGTGTACACTGGAGGTCGCATTAGATGAATTAATTCTGGATATTGCCACAAGTGTGGTAGATGAAATATGAGCGCCGAAAACTCGGCGCATGAAATTCGAGATTTCAAACATAACTATGTACACTATTGTTACTGGTATCTACATACAAAAGAGGTCCCTTCCTGATGTATGAAAAATATAGAAAGATCGCTTTTTACGATGAAAAGCAGCTTTTAAACACCATTCCTAACATTTTCACACTTAAGCGAAGCCTAAAATATTTTTATAGGGGCTTACTTGTGTCTGACACGCCTGAGAGCGACAATATTGATTCAAAAAATTATGATGTGAAATTAGTGTTCCATTTAAAAACTGTTTTTCTTCTTTTTTCTTTTATTCTCCGATTAGGAAATCATGGTCTT